GGCGCCGCGGCGGGGCTGAGCGGGCCGCGATGGACGGCCCGAGCGGGGCCCCCCCGGCCGCCGCCGCCGCCCCGTCGCGGCCGAAGCCGCCGCTCAGCATCCTCTTCTCGACGGCGCTGTTCTGCGGCGAGGGCGCGGCGGCCGCGGCGCTCTGCTTCTCCTACGGCCACTCCGACGACCGCTTCTGGCTGGCGCTCACCGTCTTCTTCATGCTCTGCCCCTCGGTGCTCGTGCAGCTCACGCTCATCTTCGTGCACCGCGACCTCAGCCGCGACCGCCCCCTCGTCCTGCTCATGCACCTGCTGCAGCTGGGGCCACTCATCAGGTGAGAGCCGCGACGGGACCCCCCGGCTTGGGGTGGGACCCCCATCGGGGCAGGATCTGGGGTGTGGGACCCTGGCTCAGGGGGAGGTGGCACAGACCCATCCCAGCAGCAGCACTGAGGGTCCCCCCTGGGGACCCYGTTCCTCCTGCTCCCTACATCCCGTCCAAGACCATCCCTGCGAGTAGCTCCTGCTCCATCCCGCAGCCCTCTCCCCCAGTTCTCCCTCGCTCAGAGAGGCTCCTTGGCCCTGCCAGGGCTGGGGGGACAGTGACCCCTCGCCTTCCCTGTCCCCCATCCCGCTGCTCTCGCGCACTTGGGGCCGCAAGATGCGGCTGCCCCCGCCTGTTGCAGCCGAGGTGCTCGCGAGGCACCTCACGTAGTTGCTGCTGGCACTCAGCACTCTCCTGTCTCTCTGGCTTTGGTCATCTTCTCGTTTAGGAAGGGATGATGTAAAAGCTGCCAGCCCTGATGCAGATCTCTGCTGGGGAGGCTGGATGTGAGCCGGGGTCCTGCCACCAAGGGGCTGGTTCTGGGACACGGAGAAGATCTGGGAGCCAGGCGGGAGAGGAGGCCGAGGGGGTGGATGTTGCTCAAGGCGGGAGGTGCTGCGCTCACTGCTCGGGAATGCCGAGGTGCCTCCCCGGGCCCCGGGGCTCCCGCGGCCTCCTTAGCTCAGGCAGCTCCTCTCAGCACAGACACAGGGCCCCAGGAGAGACCAGCGGGGTCACGGGTGGGCGGCACGACCGCCCCGCGGAGTCCATCCCCGGGCAGTGAGGCAGAGCCCAGYGGCCCCGAAACGTGGGACGCCCCAGAGCGCCGTGCCCACGGAGCGGCGGGAAGGCCACGGCCGCCACCACGCTTCCTGCTGCGCCGGAAACCCAGCGGGCCCCGCGAGCCCCACGGCTGCGGCGGGCACGGCCGAGCCACGCGGCGCTGCCGGCGAGGGCACACGGAGGCGGCCGGAGCTGCTCCCGGCGTGCGGCAAGCGGAGCCCGCGCCCACGGAGAGGTGTGGGCAAGGCAGTGCCCCGCAGCTCGCGCTGCCCCTCGGAGCCTCCCTCGAGGCTCTGGTGTTTCGCCGTTAGGGCTGGTGGTAAAGCACCAGCGCTGGCAGGGCTGCCAAGAGGATGCGTCCAAGAAGCTMATTCCATTTGGGTTGGAGACAGAGCAGCTTCTGCTGCCCTGGTGGCTGCTCATAAATAACGATCTGCTGTTGGTCCTGGCGCCAACTAATTCCTGAGCAGAAGCCAGACGGCAAGAGATGATGATCGCCTCCGAGACGGAGGCCGCAGAGCCCGGGGAGGCTGCGGAGGCCACTAAGGAGGAAGGGCCCGAGCAGTGCGAGCTCTCGGGACGGGTCTCAGCAAGGCCCATGGCCACCGACTGCACCAAATCCCAGCCAGCCCCCTGCTCTGCCCTCTCTGTGGTCCCTCATGGAAGAGCCTCTTGCTCAACAGAAGGGATTCAATAAAACATAGGTGAATTCTCCTGCTGTTCCTTAGGGACAGACACGTTTGGTGCCAACAGGCTGTGGAACCAGCAGCAGGACTCGGGCAGAAGGTGATGGAGCCCTTCCCTCCAGCTGTGTCCCCTCCACAGCGCTGGGGGTGTCCAAGTGCCCAAGTGCAGTGTCCAGCTGCGCCTTTCTCACTGTCACCTCCTYCTTATCTCCTCACCACACATTTCTTATCTCCCCACCACACACTTCTCCCCTCTGCACGCTCTGCAGCCCCGGGGCCGGGAAGGGGCCGCCCGGCTGAGGGCTGCTGCGTCCCGCAGGTGCCTGGAGGCCCTGGTGGTCTTCTGCTGGTCGGGCAAGGAGGAGGAGCCCTACGTGACCATCACGCGCAAGCGGCGCCTGCGGAAGGGCTATGAGGTGGAGCTGGAGCAGGAGGTGGGCCACTCGGCGCGCCGGCTGGCCACGCACCGCAACGCCTTCAAGCGCGTSGCCGTCATCCAGGCCTTCCTGGGCTCCACGCCGCAGCTCACGCTGCAGCTCTACATCAGCGTCCTGGAGAAGCACGTGCCCCCGGCGCGAGGTGAGCGGCGCCACGCACCCGTCGGTGGCTTTTCCTGAGGGCTTCCTGAGCACTTCCACCTTCCCTTGCAAATCCCTGCAGCGGAGCTATGTGCGTACCTTGCTGATAGCGGCAGCTCCCGAGTCCCTGGCACAGGGAAGGCGCCGGCTCCGTCACCCGCCCCGCCGTGGTTATTTATGGGCAAAGCGGGGCTGTGGCCACGGTGTGCAAACAAACCTGGCGTGCTCCYGCGGCTCTGCAGCTTCAGGCTCTGGTGAGGGGCTGTCCCTGCTGAGCCTCGCTACCCGGCGGCAGCCAACGGGGGTTCACACGTGCGGGTGGCTGCGCTGGACACCCCCYGCTCCTGGCACGTCCCCTGTGCCCTGTAATCGAGGGCACTGCGCCCACTAGAGGGTGAAAGTCCTACAGACGCATAAAGGGCCCTAGAGACTCCACTTCCAGCATTCCCTAAATTCCCTGGCAAGGACACCGCCCAGCACAAGCACAAGATTCCTCCAAGGTCTCCTTGCAGGCCCTGGGGTAGGAGAGGCTCGGGTAGGACTGGAGATCCCGGGAARGCCTCCTTGTTCCTGGAATCCTTTCCCAGGTCCCATAACAGCTCAGCACCATGGGCTTCTGTCCTAAGCCGAGCTGCCTGTCCCTGTCCCCTCCAGGAACAGCAGGTGGACATGGGCAAATACCCACGAGAGCCTTGGAAGWCCTCCTCTTGGCTAAACACAAGTGAGAACTCAGATCTCCCAGAAATAAGCTTTTCTTTGCAGCTTTTATGATCAAATTTCCCAGAAATAAACTTTGCTTCACCTCCCTTAGGACTGTGGTGGCTCTCTAAGTACCCATGGGCATCTCATATCACTGCTGCAATGTGGGGCATGGGCTGAGGGRACAGCTCTTGGCCCCAGACTCATCCCCAGCAGCGAGTCTTGCGCCAGACCTGACTCCCTGTGCTCTTCCTCCCCTTACAGCCGTCCTCATGGGCATCTGCCTGGTGTCAGTCACCTACGGGGCGCTCATCTGCAACGTCCTGGCCATCCAGATCAAATACGATGACTACAAAGTGCAGCTGCGGCCCCTGGCCTTCCTCTGCATCGTGCTGTGGCGCAGCCTGGAGATCTCCACGCGCGTGGCCGTCCTCGTGCTCTTCGGCACCGTCTTCAAGCACTGGATCATCCTCATCGCCCTGGCCAACCTGCTCGTGGTCTTCTTCCTGCCCTGGGTGCAGTTCTGGCGCAGCGGCGCGCGGCTGCCCGACAACATCGAGAAGAACTTCAGCCGCGTGGGCACGGTGGTGGTGCTCTGCGCCTTCACCCTGCTCTTCGCCGGCATCAACATGTTCTGCTGGTCCGCCGTGCAGCTCAAGCTGGCCGACCGGGACCTCATCGACAAGTCGCAGAACTGGGGCCGCCTGGCCGTGTACTACGTGGCCAGGCTGGTGGAGAACACGGCGCTCGTCGTGCTCTGGTACTTCTTCAAGACGGACGTCTACGAGAACATCTGCACGCCGCTGCTCGTGGTGCAGCTGCTGCTCGGCTACTGCCTGGGCATCTACTTCATGCTGCTCTTCTTCCAGTACCTGCACCCGTGCCGCCAGCTCTTCCACCACAACGTGGCCGATTTCCTGCGCTGCGTGTGCTGCCGGCGGCGCGCGCCGGCCCAGCCGCTGCTCCTCGAGGCTCCCTGCGAGCCCGGCGTGAGGCACAGCGTGGTCTGAGCTCGTGGGGCTCCTCCCGGGGCGCTGCCGGCCCCGCTGGGACTGAGCCGGGCTGCGGGCTGGGGGCAAACGCGACGGGTGGCCGGGCTGCACCTGGGGCACCCGGCTCCCGTGGCCCCGCGTTGCGCTGGCTGGGAGCACATGGCAGGACCCTGGGGAYGAGGGGATGCCGAAGGAGCATCCARCGCACGGGGCTGCACAGACTGCACGGGTGGTTCCCCCGCCTGGCATTTTTCTCGGGAAAGTAGGGACGGCGAGGGTGGCCGATGCTCGCGTTTGCCCAGCGGGGCGGGCGGCTGACTTGGTGCTCTGGCTTCCTGGTCAYTTCCTGGCACTTGCTTCCTGCCACCGGCAAGTGTGCCCCTCCAAAAGGCCCATTTGGCGCCGAACTGCTGCAAAAAGGAAGGAAAAAGAAATAAAATAAATAAAAGGAGGAGAAACCCGACTGCTGGGGGCAACCGTTCCTCGAAACATCTTGCCCCAAACACCTCTATGGGAGTAGCCACCTGGCCGGGACTGTCCCCAGGTTTGTCCCAGGGCCACCCCGCACCTGCCCTGGGCACMTGTGGCGGCGCCCGGCCCGCCCCGGGGCAGGAGGAAACGGGTTTAGCTGCAGGTGCGGGAAGCGGCGGGGCCGGGCGCAGCGCCGCGGCCTTCCCGGAGCGGCCGGCGGGGAAAGCCCCGCGGCGGGGCGGGCGCTGGCCGCCCCATAAAGCGCGCGGGCGCCCGGCGCCGCCGCGCCGGCACCATGGGCAACTGGCTGGTCAACCACTGGTTCTCGGCCGCTGTCGTCGTAAGTGCCGCTGCGCTCGGGTGCCGCGGGGTGGGCGCGGACAYGGGCCCTGCTGATGGGGGAGTTCAGGAGGGATGGAGCAAGTCTGGGCTTGAGGATGGGTCTGGCTCCGACCTGGGGATCCCAGGGAGGAATGCAGGCTGTCCTGACTCCAGGCTTTGCAAAGTCCCCTGCTCAGCGCTTCCTGAGGAAGAAAAATCTCTGCTGCTTCACACAGTCTGGAGCTCAGGGGGAAAGAGGCGGCCAGTGAAGCGGGCAGGGCCCCGTTTGGGGGAAATGGAGATTAAAATAAAATGTGGGTCCCTATGTGCAGGCTGGGGGAAACCTGCAGCATTTACCCCTTTCTCACTACCCCTTCCTCCTTTTTTTTTCCTCCTTTTCTTTTCCTTCCTTTTTTTTTTTTTTTAAATGGGGCACTGTGCTGATGCCAGTATGGAAGCGGGGGGCTGTTTCTGAGCCCATTCCAGGCTCAGCCGTGCACATAAGGAAGCASAGATTTGCTGTGGGGAGCAAAGCAGCAAGGCTGGGAAAGCCAAGACCCTGCAAAACATCCTGCTCCTGGGCCTGCCCCCATCGCCAGCCCTGCTCAGCTCTCGCTCTCTTAGCCCCAGGACTCTCCCTTGCGTGACAGCCTCACTGTCACAGCACATATTTTTGCTATCTCSCTTTCCTCATTCTTTCCCTGCGGAAGATGCTCGGTTGACGACCAGATAGCTGTTTTGCAAGACTCCCACGACTGTTGCCACCTTTGGTCCCATCCGTGCGAGCGTGGCCCTTCCCGTAAGGAAGCAGGAGGAGCTGTGCTGTCCTGGTGCACTGTCCCAACGGGACTGTGCGACGCAGGATGCGGCCGGGCCACCCCGGTGCAGGGAGCAGGGACTGGGGGCTGGGGTCCCTCACGGGACAGCGCCCGCGAAGCCTCCGCTTTCCCCCCGCAGGCCGCCTGGCTGGGCATCAACATCTTCCTCTTCACGTACTATTTTCTGTTCTTCGACCGCAATGAGCAGTACTTCTACACCAGGGAGATCCTCGGGGTAAGGCCCAGCAAGGTGCCACCCAGCCCTGTCCTCACCCAGGACAGCGTCACGCTGCCAAGTCCCCACTGCCATCCCAGCGTCGTCCCACCCCAGTCCCATCCCATCCCAGCATTGCTGCACCCCAGACCTCCTCCCAGCGCAGCCCAGCATCACYGTCCCAGTCCAACCCCAGTCCCAACACAGTCCCTCTCCATCCTGCTCCCTCACCAATCCTGCATCCTTTAATCCCAGCCCACGGCCCAGCCCTATTGCAGTGCCCCTTGGCTCCAGCCCTGGCTGCGATCCCAGCCCAGCCCCATGTGGCCGGTGCCGGGGCCGCGGGCAGACCCGTTCCRTGCGCGCCCATGCTCACCCCGTGCCTCCCCGCTCTCCGCAGTCTGCCCTGGCATGGGCCCGGGCCTCGGCCAAGTGCCTGAACTTCAACAGCATGTTGATCCTGCTGCCCGTGTGCCGCAACCTGCTCTCCTTCCTGCGCGGGACCTGCGCCGTGAGTGCCCCAGCTCCGCAGCGCGGGCAGCGCAGAGCGCGGGCGGCTCGTGCAGTGCACGCAGTGACCCGCCGCGCTCTCGCTGCAGTGCTGCAGGCGCACGCTGAGGAAGCAGCTCGACCACAACCTCGCCTTCCACAAGCTGGTGGCCTACGCGCTGGCGCTCTTCACGGGTATGCAGGGCCCCTCCTGGGCGCCCCTTGCTCCGTGCTGAGCCGGGGCCGCACGGTGGCCCCCACGCCCGTCACGGTGACGTGTCTGTCCCGCAGCCGTGCACACCATCGCCCACCTCTTCAACCTGGAGCGCTACAACTGCAGCCAGCAGGCCCCGGGCGGCAGCCTGGCCGCCATCGTCTCCAAGCTGCACCTGCAGGGCAACAACTGGCTCAACCCCATCCACTCCAACCACACGGTGAGCACTGGCCCGCAGCCCTGCGCCCCGTGGCCCTCGCGCCCCACTCACCGCCCCCCTGCCTCCCCGCAGACCCCCGAGTACGTGGCCTTCACCACCATCCCGGGGCTGACGGGAGTCATCATCACGCTGGCGCTCATCCTCATGGTGACGTCCTCCACCGAGTTCATCCGCAGGAACTACTTTGAGGTCTTCTGGTACACGCACCACCTCTTCATCGTCTACTTCGCCGGCCTCATCATCCACGGCATCGCGTAAGGCACCCCGCAGCCGCGGCACGCGCTGCCCTCCCAGGCATGGGGCACGGGCATGGGGCACAGGGCACGGCCCCGCTCATGCGGCCTCCCCACAGTGGGCTGGTGCGCGGGCAGACCCCGCAGAGCATGCGGGAGGCGCCGCCGCGGCTCTGCGCCCCGTGCCTGCTGGACCGGGACTGCGGATACTGCTGCTGCAAAGAGCCCGAGTTCGGGAGCATTCCTGCCGAGGTAGGAGGGCTGCGCTCGGGGGGCATGTGGACCCTGCAGYCGCTGGACGCAGTGGGAGGAGAAGCTTCTCCCTGGCACCTTCCCCTTAGCGGGAGCAGTTAGCCTGGGATGCTCCAGGCTTGGTGGTTTCGTTCCCCAGCATCTCCAGCCCTTTGCTCCCCTCTGTCCCCACAGTCCTGGAAGTGGGTTCTGGCCCCGGTCATCCTCTACATCTTCGAGCGGCTCCTCCGTATCTGGCGTGCTCGGCAGAAGGTGGTGGTCACCAAGGTGGGTGACGCTGCATCCCCYGCAGCCACCAGCACTGCAGGAGACATGTCCAGGCCGGGGGGCTGCGGGGAGGCTGGCAGGGGCTGCTGCTGCAAAAGGCCCCTGGCCCATGGGGACGGGGCCAGGCTGGGCGCTGAGCTGCAGCTCTTGCCCTCCCAGGTGGTCATGCACCCCTCCAGAGTGCTGGAGCTGCAGCTGCAGAAGAAGGGCTTCCGCATGGAGGTGGGGCAGTACATCTTCGTCAACTGCCCCGCTGTCTCGCTCCTGGAGTGGCACCCCTTCACCCTCACCTCGGCGCCCGAGGAGGACTTCTTCTCCATCCACATCCGTGCGGCCGGCGACTGGACGGAGGGCGTCATCGACACCTTCCAGCAGCGGACAGAGATGCCCAGGTAGGCTGGCAGCCCCCGCAGGGACCTTCCTGGAGATCATGGCCGAGCCTCTTACCCAGAGCCTGTCATGGCCAGGATCAAGGTGGACGGCCCTTTCGGCACGGCCAGCGAAGACGTGTTCCAGTACGAGGTGGCCATGCTGGTGGGAGCAGGCATCGGGGTCACCCCCTTTGCCTCCATCCTCAAGTCCATCTGGTACAAGTTCCAGCATGCTGACCAGGCCCTCAAGACCAAGAAGGTAATGGGCACCTGTCGGGACCAGCAGCTGATGTCCCCAGGCCATAGTTTCTCCATGCTTGGAGGCCCTCCTGATCCCAGGCACTGTGTCCTGCTTCCACCACCCTGCTCAGCTCTGCTCACCTCTGCTCTGCCTGGAGTAATTGCCTCTTTCTCCATGCGATYGCACCCCAGATCTACTTCTACTGGCTCTGCCGGGACACGGGGGCCTTCGCCTGGTTCAACGACCTGCTTGCCTCCCTGGAGCAGAAGATGGCCGAGTCGGGCAAGGCTGACTTCCTCACCTACCGGCTCTTCCTCACGGGCTGGGACACCAGCATTGTGAGTCAGTCACCTGCGGGTGGGCACGAGAGCAAGGTGGGAAACGGCCAGGGGAGCTGGGGAAGAAACACAGAAGAGCACATCAACAGCTCGCAGTGATAGCAGGCCTGGGAATGGGCTTTGCCTCCCTCACGCTCCCTCACACTGCTGGGAGCTACCTAGCGATGAGGGACTTGGGTGGGCTGGGTGGTGGTGAGGAGGGTCCAGCTCTCCCCTTCTCCCCAGGCCAACAACGCAGCGCTCAACTTCGACACTGTCACGGACACGGTGACCGGCCTGAGGCACAAAACCATCTTCGGGAGGCCAATGTGGAACACGGAGTTCGCGGCGGTGGCCACGGCCCATCCCAGGTGAGAGCCGGGACGGGCCCTGCCTCCCCAGGGCTCAGTGCCCGCCTGGCCGTGCAGGGCACGACAAGCACAGGCCTTGGGGACACCCCGGGTGCAGTGAGGGTTTACGCCACTCACCCCAGCCGCCCGCTGCAGCGAGGAGCCCCGTGGGAAGGCTCCAGTCTGTTCACTGTCGACAGGTCCGTGGTCGGCGTGTTCCTGTGCGGGCCGGAGGCCTTAGCCAAGAGCCTGCAGCGGTCTTGTCACCAGCACTCCAGCCTGGACCCCAGGAAGGTCCAGTTCTACTTCAACAAGGAAAACTTCTAAGYGGGATCCGCGCTGGCACTGTGGCTCGCAGAGGACAGGCAGCTGGTCTCTGCATCCCCTTCCAGCCCGAGGCAACTTGCCCCAAGCCCASCGAGACCAAGCAGGGCTCTGCCTCTCCACGAGACATGTTCAAAGACTGCTGCCTTCCTGACCAGTCTACAAAGAGCCCTGGCGTGTGGAAGGGGTCGAGCTCAGCACAGTCCTTCGGGAGCAGAAGCAGGACAAACACCGTGACATTGYGGTACCGGAGCCGTGCGAGGGCTGGGATCAGCTACGGAGCGCCCAGCAGGCTGGGCAGGACAGTGGGATGGGCCGAGCAGTCACTAGGGGCCAAACATGCCCCTCTCCATGTTTAAACAGTTCTTTACAAAAAAGGGTAAATCAAACCTGTTCTTTGCAATAAAAGCGAAAGGTGGTGACTGAGTCCACGGAGGTACAGAGAGCCTTTTGTTCGCCCCCTTTATGGGGCTGCACCTTTATGGGGCAGGCGGGGGTTGCCATAAACAGCCCTTGGCGGCGGTGTGGGTGGCTGCCTGCCAGCCCCTCCTCGTAGCGCGCCGAGCGGCCACAGGGCAGCCCCTCTGGATGCGCCTCAGCCAAGGCGACCAACTCAGCTCAGGTTGATCGGGGCAGAGGGGAGCCGAGCGGGCAGGGGCTGTAAGYGATACAGCAATCGGATACAGAGCCCTCCGCCGGCGGGGACGGCAGGTCGAGCCGCCCGCGCCGCCCCGGGCCGGCTGCAGCGCGGCCAAGGGCCTGGGGCTGTCCCCAGACCCCAACTCCAGCACCTCCCCAGGCGGGCACGAGGTCCACCGTGTYCCATGGGACACGAGCCAGCCTAGGGAGCGCCTTAAAAAGCACTATTTGCTGCCTAGGATGCAGCTACCTCTGTACAGAGCTTCTTTSGCTCACTCCCCCCACATCTCCCGCGGGCTCCCAGAGCTCTCCTCAGACTAGTCTGGAGTCCTCGCCCTGCCTCCACGGCAGGGTCACACAAGGCAATCTTTACTCAAACCCTCCTCCTCCCGCTTTATTTCAAACATCATAAAATATACACAGAGAAAAAGGGACAAATCACAGGGCAAAAGACGTTGGGTGGGGAGGAGAAACCTCCCCCTAAATGCAGCATCGGCGCAGATGGTGATGGGAAGCAGCCACCACAGAACATCTCCTCTGTCCGGGGGGGCAGACAAGCCTGCAAGAACCAAGGGTGGCGGAGTGAGCCCCTGCACTGCGAGGAAAGGCAGGGCCACCCCACACAGCCCTTCTATGCCTGGAAAAGGCTCAGGTGGGGCAGCACCAAGGGCTGCCGCTGCCCCGTCCCCTGGTCGTTACCTCTCACGGGGCTCCTGTGGATTTCTGGATTTGCTCCTTCAGGATGAGGATACTTTGCCGTTGCTCCGGGGGCAGCATGGCGATCTGGTCTGCGGTCAGCTGCAGAACCTGCATGATCAGGGCTGCCTGTGGGGAAAGGAGAGCATCAGAGATGTTGTCTGCCCAAACAACCCGGTGTTACTGGAGCCAGCAAAGGGACTGCTGGTGGGATCAGTTCTCCTGTGCAGCAGGACCCAAGCGTGGCCCAATTTCTAAGCAGACTGGGGTGAAATAACCACGTGCTCCAAACGCAGCAGGATCTGCAGCCCCGAGGCTGCGGGGTACAAACTCCCAGGGGCAGCTTGTCCCCTGCCACAGCAAGGAGTGCAAGGATTCACCCCATTCCTCCTCAAATGCCTCAGCGTTTCTCTCCTGCCCACTCACCTTCTCATGGTCCTGCGGTGTGACCTGGCTCTGCCCAGGGCTAAAGCCCCCAGGCTGCCCAGCTCCTTGCACTCCTGCCCCAGGAATGCCGCCTCCCTGCATGCCTGCCCCTGCCATGGTGGGAACCTGTGAGCACAGCAGAAGGCGTGAGAGGCCCTCCGGCCTCGGCGGCACAAATGCACCTCCGCTCATCTCCCATGCAGGGCAGTGCCAGCGCGGCCGGGCAGAGGTGCTGTGCCTACCTGGCGAGGCCCCTGCGGGCCGCTGGCTCCCATATTAAGCGGTCCTGGACCCTGAATGCCACCAGGCATCGGGCCGCGCGGGTTGGGACCAGGCCCGCGAGGCTCCAGGCCGCGGGGCTCCATGACCCTGGCCTCCATGGCCCTGGCCTCCAGCACGCGTGGCTCCAGCACGCGCGGCTCCAGCCCCCGCGGCTCCATCACGCGCGGCTCCAGCCCCCGTGGCTCCAGCCCGCGCGGCTCCAGGCCCCGCGGATCTCGTCCCACTGCAGAGGAAAGACAAGGTGAGCTGTGGAAGGGAGCAGCGCTGGAGGCAGAGCTGGAGGAGCCCGCTGCCTCAAGTCCCCTGCCCTGTCACAGTGTGGTCACTCAGCTGCCCAAACCCCCGTGCTGCACCTTGTGTGGGGGCAGCGGGCTCCACTCTTAGCCTGTTTGCTTCCAGCCACCCGCTCTTTCATGCCCCCTCTCTCACCTCGAGCGTCCATCAAGGGCCCCCGCGGCTCTCCCATCAGCGGTCGGGGTTCTCCCATGGGTCCCCCCCTCATCTCATGGGGGGGGCCACGGCTGTCATGGCCAGGCATATGGTGCAAAGGGGCTCCTTGGTGGGGCGGCCCAAGGTAACCTCTGACGCAGAGAGACGAGGAGAGCAAAGCAGGAGGAGAAAAAGCGAGAGAGAGTGAGTCAGACGCTGGCTTGGCACGGTCCGGGCAGAGCGCGGGGCATCACCCCCAGTGGCCAYGGGGAGCTGGGTGAGACGATGCCACAAGGCTGCAGTTACTGCCCTGGAGATGTCCCACAGCCCAGAACACAGGCTGTTCCTGGGGCCAGCAGCACACGGGCCTCCAAGGAGGCAGCAGTGACTCCCCGGAGGCTCCTGCCATCCCTGCCCTCAGTGGGAGGCCACCTCTGGGCAGGGGGCAGTGCCGAGGGCTTCCTCTCCTTCCCTCTCCCCTCACCTGGGCTCCACTTCGCCAGTGACTGAGAGCAGGGTCCCTCCACGAGGGTCATTCGGGGCATCTCCCAAAAGGCCGCGGGGTGGAGGGCCACTAGCGGGCAGAGGTCCACGCTGCATAGGGGCCCTCGGGTCTGGCATGGGCACTGCCAGGGAGACACACAAGAGCTGGTGAGGATGAGCGCGCACAGGGCGGCGCCGACGCTGCCCCGCGGCGGCCTGGCCGTGCTGCCCGCCTGGCTGCTGCTCCCAGCCCTGTCCCCCCGCTCCCTGGTTCTACCTGAGCCTCCTCAGGACACTGGGTGGCCACACGGAGCGTGGCTGCCCCCGTGGCCATCCCTCAGAGCAGGAGCTGCAACACCCTGACAAGGGGGGCTAGGAGCAGAAGCAAGACCTGTAAGGCTCCTCTTGGGGACATCTCAGAGGGTTGGACCGTAGGCAAAGACTGGGGCAGAGACTCTCCTCTTCCACAGCTCCAGCCTGCTCTTTCCTCCTGCCCCCAGAGGAAGCCCTGCCTCCTTCCAACCCTGCAAGGCTCCACAGTGATGGTCCTGGCCGTGCACACAGTGGGGCACTAGCTGCTCTATGCGCTCCACAAGGAGCTCCACGAGGGAAGGGAGCTGCAGCTGCAGGGATACCTTGGACACGCTCGATAGACGCAGGCCTGGCAGGTCCCACGGGCGAGAGCTGCAGGTTCCCTGGGCAAGCAGCAGGAAGAGAGGGAGAAGAGCAGACACGTAAATAGTGTATGCACACACGCAGCCAGCTCGGGAACAGCACTGCCGAGCCCCRTGGGGCCTCTGCCATCGGCCCTGCTCCCTGGATCCCCCAGGACACCTATCCGAAAAGACACCACTTGCTGCAGCCTGGCTTCATCAGTGTCTTCCCCTAGTGGCAGCTGTGACAGCGTGAGCGTGACAGCCACCTCAGGCAGGCCTGCACAGCGGGGCAGGGCCCTGCCCTTGCTCACTGTGGGCATGTGCGGGCCAGGATACCAAGCCCCACACTCAGTGACACTCAGTGATACGCAGTGAGTCAAGCCAACCTCTGCTGCAGCTCCCCACGACACTCCCAGCTCCAGGTTTCTGTCTGCTCTCCGCTTTTCTGCTGGGGGGTAGCAGAGAAACTGCCCAGAACTGCAGGATTGCTCTCAGGGAGACAAGGCTCCCCCAAAGAAAATGAGTCAGCTGCCCTTAGGAGACGTGAGGCTGAAGGAGCTCGAAACAGGTTTGCTGGGTTCCCCACGCAGGGCCTAAGACACCAATCAAGCCGATGGCGATATGGGCTCCCTGCGCGCCTCCCTGCTGGAAGAACAGGAATGCCCTGGCAGTGCTAAACCCAGTGCCTGCCTCGACAGGGCCACGCGCTGGATCGTCAGGAATCCAGCTCCGGGGCCGGGCCGTGCGGAGCGCGTCTGCGCAGGGAGGGCCGAGCGGCGCTCGCTGGGAAGGTCCCTGCCAAGCCTCGCGCTCACTGCCGCAAGCACAAGCAAAGGCCCAGCTCCCTCTGCCGGGCACAGCGCGGAGAGCGCGGGGAGCCCCGGGCTGGCGCCGCGGGCAGCGCCCTCGCAGCGGAGCAGCAGGACAGGGACCGCAGCAGAGCGAGGCCTCCCTGCCCAGGCAAGCGCAGGGACAGGCCGGCTCGCAGGCAGAGAGGAAACAGAGGCAGGCGGCCCTGCCGGCTGGGGAGCAGCTGCAGCAGAGGGGCACGCGCGAGCGAGGGAGCCCTCCCGCAGCCCCGCGGGACGCCCCAGCCCGCCCTTTACCTTGTCCACGCTCCAGGGCCACGGGCCCTGCTCCCGGTATGCCCACCTGCGGCTGCAATCCACCTGGGAGGCAACGCGACACGTGAGAGCCTCGCCAGCAGCCCCGGACCGATTCCTGGGCATGGAATAACTGCCCCCCTCCCAGCTCCTGGGGTGATTCCCGGGGATTTCGTTTTTTGGTGTCCATTTCCCACAGAGCAGAGGCATCTTTCCGAATCGGCAGCCCACGATTCGGGAGTCAGCAGTGTCAAACCCCCCAGGCTGGGACAAGGCCCTGGCAGGACCCGCAGGATCAGCSGAGCACTCACCTCCCGGGGCCAGGGGGCCGGGGCCCGGCACGGCGGCGGCCATGGCTCCCGGYGCCGGCACGGCGCCCTGCAGGGGCGGCTGCAGCAGGGCAGGAGCTCCGTTCACGTGCAGGCCGCCCTGCGGGACAGTCGCCCGTCAGCCACACGCTGCCGCCCGGCCCCTTCACACCCGCTCCGTGCCCACGCCGGGCACAGCGAGTCCGACTCTTACTAAGGGCTGTGGCTGCGCCGCCGCCGTGCTGGCCGGGTTCAGCGCGGCATTTGGGCCCGGCCCTGGTCCCGGCCCAGGCCCTGGTACTGGCACTGCCTGCTGGCTGCCTGGGATCAGAGGAGGGACACTGGTCTGGCGGTGCAGGATTTTCTAGGAGCAGAAGAGGGAGAAGGAAGTTCTCTTGCACTGCCCCTTCCACAAGAGGCTGCTGCAGCCGCCGCCGAGGCAGAGGGGACCCACCAGTGCGATCTCCGGATCAACGATCCTCATGACCACCTGGGCCTGCAGCAGGGCGTAGGCCAGCTGCGGGTTCTGCAGCAGCATGTTCCTGGCTTCCTGGGGGCTGTTCTGCACACACAGCTGAGGAGGAACGCACGGCTGAGAGCTCCAGCACAGCACCAGCGGCTGCGGGTGGAAGGGACGAGCCCTCCGCCTCCACTCACCTTCATCTGCTTCATCAGCTCAAACATCTGCTCGGGGGGCAGGCTGGCCACCGCGCGGCTGATGGACTCGGGGGCATCTTCGGGATTGACCGGGTCCCCATAGGGCGACTCTATGATGGGGGCGCCGGTGCCCAAGCCTGCAAGGGAGGTGGTGACACAGGCTGTGACCTTGCTCTGGGGGCAACAGCACCTGGCTGCATTTGCTCTGCTCCTCAGAAAGGGAATGCCAGTCACCAGCAAAGGGAGAGGCCGCCAGAGAGAGCAGGGACAACAACCAGAAGGGAAAATACAAAGTTTAGCCCACATGCCCCTCTGCAAACTGCACATGCTGTCACCGGAGCAGAGGAGCTCCCCAGCGTGCCCCCCTCACCAGTGACACCGAAGAGACGTTTCCCAACACTCCAGGCCATCCCGTAACACCACCGCCGCTCCCCCCGCAGCACCCGGGCTCACTCTTGAGCTCCTCCTTGTTCTTCTCGCTGGCCGCGTTGTCCACGCGCAAGGCGCGGCCGCTGAACTCGCGCCCGTTGAGGTTGCGCATGGCGCTGAGCGCCGTCTCCTGGTCCTGGTACTCGCAGAAGCCATAGCCCTTGGGCTTCCCGGTCTCCCTGTCGTACACCAACCTGGAGGGCGACGAGGACGGAGACGCTGAGGGCAGCGGGAAGGCAGATAGGGGGTAACAGCGCGGGACAGACACCCAGCGCCAAGGGATCCCGCTCCAGGCTTGTGGCTGCTCCCAGAGCGCCCGCTTCCCAAGGGATATTGGGGGACACCGTGGGCTGCTCCTTGTGCCTGTCCTGGAAGGCCCCAGGCTGCTCCCGCGGCCATGCATGGCCGGGGCTCTAGGGAGGCTGGAGCAGGAGAGCATCCCGACATCCCCATATCCTGACATCCYGATATCCCAACATCCCAATATCCCAATAACCGAACATGCAGACATCCCGGTATCCCAACATCCCGATATTCCAACATCATGATAACCCAACATCCCAATATCCCGACATCATGATATCCCAACATCCCGATATCCCAGTATCACAATGTACCGGTACCACGATATCCCGACATCCAGACATCCCGATATCCCAACATCCCAACATCCTGATATCCCAACATCCAGATATCTCAACATCCCGACATCCCGATATCCCAACATCCCACTCTCATGATATCCCAACATCCCGCTATCCCGACACCCGGCTATCCCGACATCCCGCTATCCCGACATCCCAGGCGGGCGCTCCGGCCATGCCCGGAGCCCCAGGGCTCCGGCGGTCCCAGGCGCTCCCGCAGGCCGCGCTCGGGACACAGGCCGGGCCGAGCCGGGCCGGGCCGGGCCTCACCTGAAGCTCACCACGGGCCCGACCTCGGAGAAGATGTCCTTGAGCTGCTCCTCCGTGGCCTCGTACGGGATGTTGCCCACTGCGGGAGAGAGCGCGGCGCGGCGCGT